TTTTTTTTTGTGCTGGTGCTGCTCGGGACCGCGCCAAGGGGTCCTGCCCGTTCGTCCCCAGGCGCACGGAAAAACGGCCCAGCATCATCAAATGCAGAATAACGGCGATGTGGCTGACCAGCGCATGTTTGTGATGGAGGTGTATTCTCATTGGCCTGATGGACGTGTGTATGTGTGTGGCATGTGTTCATAACTTTATATGCTTGTGGTCAGAAGCTTGCAGATTTGAGCAGATCTGAAAGTTGAGAGGAACAGAAGAAGGTTGATGTTTGGCTTAGTGGTGGCTCCCGTTATCCGCGTGCGTCGTGCATACATACGGCTGACTCGTTCGACGCTTCTCCCCTTTGTTAGGGAAGAGAAAGAGGGGGGGACTAGAGCCATCTGAACAGTTCTTGTGGGTTTCTTGGGTTCGTCCAAGCGAGATGGGCATGCTGGATGTTTTTCGGGGAACGAGCTTTCGGCATGTCGCATCGCAGGGCATCAGCTTGGGATTGATTATCACGTCCGCGCTCATCATATGGAAGGCACTGATGTGTTTCACCGGCAGTGAGTCGCCTGTGGTGGTGGTTCTGAGTGGAAGCATGGAGCCTGGGTTTAAGCGCGGCGACATACTTTTCCTGAAGATGGGAGATTCTCCCATCTCCACCGGTGAAATCGTCGTCTTCCATGTTGACGGCCGGGATATCCCGATCGTTCACCGCGTGATTAAGGTCCATCATCGTCAGGAGTCGAATGACGTCGATATTTTGACCAAGGGTGATAACAACTGGGGTGACGATCGTGCTCTCTACGCGACCGGCCAGCTTTGGTTACATCAACATCACATTATGGGACGCGCGGTTGGCTATTTGCCGTACTTGGGAATGGTAACCATCGTCATGACGAGCTATCCCTACATTAAGTTCCTTCTCATTGGTGTATTAGCATTACTCGTTATCACCGCGAAGGATTGATTGATTGATTGATCGATTGATGAATCGAGTGTTGCTGCAGCTCCCCAACAAGTCCTTTTACCATTTACTTGTGGATCACCCCCGATGCAGGGCATCTGGTCGCATCGCTGCAGTCTGCTGTTGGGTTGGGTCTGGGTAGGAATGAAAGGCTGGCCGATGTTGTTTAGGAGATTGAGGATGGAAGAGCGCCTTTGGGGTTTGAACTTTGAAGCGCAATGCATACGTGGAGTTCATTTTTTGGAGGATTTTTTTTCATTTCCCACGGAAATCGGGCCGCAAGAGTGTATGGCGCTGTATGCTTTATACCTCACAGTTGTAGCAGTCATGATGACTCGATTGAAGGAGATGTCGACGCAAGGACGAGCACGTCACTGCAAAGTCTTGATCTGTTGTTGACTGTTGCCACTTCACGATCCTTTTCCGCGTACCTGTCAGCCTCAGCGGAGGTCAGCCTCAAGGGTTCTGTTGTGAAGGCAATTTCTAGTCTGGTTGAGAGTGGCGAGGAATGAATGATGGCCTACCGTCTTCTTCTCAATGGGGAGACCGCTGAATATGCTTCTGAGCCTCCGATTTTCCTTTTGCTGTGTTGTTTCCTTTCCCTTCCCGCCATCTCGATTTACTGTGAAGATTTAGCAGTTTTGCCATATTTCCATGTGTGTGCTTTGGTCAGTTTTGTTGCTGCACTTTCTCATCATTCATGTTGCTGCATTGACCATTGACTGGCTTTGGTCATTTGTGTTCCTGTGCTCTGTCATTATTCATGTGCAACTGCGTTCCCCTAATCTATGTCCCCATCTTTCATCAGCTGTCCACTTCTATCGCTCGTACACACACACACACACACACACACACACACACACACACACACACACACACACACACACACACACACACACAC